ACATTGAACTATTTATAATGTAAGTATGCTTTTCTTTAATATAATTGCATTGTTGTAAGTAAACTTAATCATCAAGTTTAGTAAACTAATATAATTGCATTGTTATAGGTACCTTTATCATTTGTGCATTACATCAGGCAAAGGTGATAAGTTTGGATTCCTTTGCCCTCATCACATGACAAAGAAAGGTAATACTCCAAAGTTAAGGACCGCGTACCTCCAACAAAGAATATGTGAAGTCAAAAAAGATGTTTTTATGGCTCCATATGTGCATTCGTAAGGATCAATTTATAATTAATAGCTTTTTTCAATATGGTTTTACTTTAAATTGTATCATATTTAGCAGGGACCATTGATAGTTATTTGTTCTTTCAATGAAGAGCAACATTATCATCTTTTTATGCTCCCTCCATTACAAACTTAGGAAAGAAATGAAGAAGACGATAGACTTGTAAGAATACTTTTACTATACTATTTAATTTAATTTTTTTGAATATTTTTACTAACTTGGTGATCTTGATCATAGGGTAATGAAAACATATCAAAATATAGTCTTACAAAAGCATAGACATGAGTTCAAGGATCCCACATGAATTGAGTCAAAGGTGATGCTATACTTTATTAATATGTTCAATTATTAAGATTTCTTACTAATTTTTTATGATTTGTTCTTATACAAAGTCATAGACAATTGGTGAGGATAAACTTGTGCGATCTATATGTCATGAGACACATGCTCAATATTATCACATTAAGCATGATCGAATTTACAAAAGAGGTAAATATATTTTTAAAATTTTTATTTTATTATGTTATTTGAGATTGATTAATACGCCTATTTTATGAATCAAATTTTAGATGTTCGACAATTCAAAGGCATTTTCTAAAATTAAAATTGAAGACATTTACATACGTTGGGCAACCTATTTTGTGGAGAACTTGTGAGGTTTTTTGTTACTTTTAGACATGTTTTAATTTTGATAGTTGACACAATTTAGACAATTATTTGTTTTTCTAATAGTTAAATAGTTTTGTATAGTTAACAAATGCTTGATAAATAATTGTAAATGAAATGAGCTATCTGATTTGGCACAGGAATGGCAATTTTGATAATTTAGACAATTGTTAGTTTTTTTAGTAGTTAAATAACTTTATATAGTTGATAAATACTTGATAAACAATTGTAAATGAATTGAGCTGTCTGATTTGGCAATTTTTATGCACAGGAATGGGTAAAATCGATAAAATAAATATAGTATAGAAAAACTAAATACTTTTTACACTGGTTATTACCATAACCGCTGTAGAATATAATATTTTTTACATCAGTTATGGCAATAATCGGTGTTAAAAGTTCACTTTTAATATTGGTTGGAAGCCCAACTGGTGTTAAAAGTTAAAGTAATTTTTTTATTTTTTTTGTATATAATTTTCAACATCGGCTTTATAATCGAGTTTATAACTGATGTAAAAAGAGGACTTTTTACATCCTCTGGAATAACATTGCCTGTTTAACTGTTGTAAAAAGTCATTTTTAACCGCTGTAAAAAGTCATTTTTTTTAACTAGTGATAATTGCTAAAGTTGTATAGAGTTGAACCAGGATTAATTTGATTCTTATACTCTAAGTTTTCACTTGAAGTTTGATTTCCATCATTCATACAAGTGTCAATCTTGTAATAATTGTTTAAGTATTCTTGGATAGAAAACAAGGCTTATAACTTAAATTTGCTCAAGTATGCACTTATACTTTGTTTTCTAGAGAAGTTTTGAAGTAATGAAAATTTGATAAACACCCAGGTCACCTTTTCTTATATATGTTATCATTTCTAACAATAAGAACTCAATAAATTAAGAAACTAACATAAAAAATTTAAGCAGATTTGAGAGAGAGAGAGAGAGGTGCAAAGACCCTCTTGAATAGAATATGGCAAAGTCAGGAATATGAATCAGTCTTAGCCGAGCAGTTATGGTTGAAGTGTGCGTGTGCGCGCGCGCGCACATCTATAAGTGAAGCAGATTGGAGGAGAGGGAGGAGAAGATCACTAACGTTGAGGCTTGAGAGGAAGAGAAGACAGAAGACGATGCGAAGGGGCAAAATCACAAAACATTGAAAAGGACCCCGTGAAAATAGCCGTGGTTTTTTAGATTTTCTCCCATCTTGCCCAGGGCTTATTTTAAAAACTTATTCATTTTAACTTCTCCAAATAAACAAATATCTGATTTTTTTAAATCTTAAACAAACATGTTAAAATTGGTTTTAAGTGATTATTTTTCACAAAAAAAAGGTTCTTCTTTCCCAAAAAATACTTGAACAAATGGGCCCTTCATTTATTTATGATAAAGTGCAAGGAATTAACGAAGTTTCAGAGTTTCTTGCACTTTATTGATTTATAGTTGATCACATGAGAGCAAATCCTCCAAAATTGTATACATGAATTTATGTAAATTTTTTATATTTTTTATAAAACATTAAATTTTCTATCTTTCTTAGAATGAAAAATTTATAGAATACACTTTAGGTATATAGGCTCTCCATACATCATAATATAAGCGGCGCTTCTTTGGAATCAAATTTCATGAAGATAACAATAATAAAATGTTTGGTGAATTAATGTTGAGATATATTGAGACTTGGTCCCAGTCATCATGGAGAGGCAATCAGAGCATGAAACTAGTAGAATATGACATATTTTATGAAGATAACGAGATTGTTTTGCTTTTAATTTTTTTTTTCAAGTAAAAGATGAAAAGATAAAAGAAGATACATGTATTTTATCAGAGTTTGAAATAATGAAATTGTTATAAGGTTATTCATGTTCTATATAATTATTTATCATTTATTTTCTTATCTACTAACTATTGGGTTATCTATTGTTGGTGGATCCAGTCCATATATAAGCCTAATTATGGTATGGAGCCTTACCGGCGTATAGGGAAAGTCTGTGTTCTTAAGTGTAATTAAGATGGGCTTTTAAGTATAATATTTCCATTTTTCTTGAATTGTGGACGGAACGGTTGCACATATTATATAAAAAAAGAGATAAAAAATTTCACATCTAGTAATTAAAAAATCAATTAAGAATATACTCCCTCCGTTAAAAAATGTAAGGTATTTTTTTGAAAAGTTGGATACTCAAAAATATAAAATATTTTTAATCTTTTGAGGTGTAATCATTGGCTTTGTTTTAAATATGCCCCTATTGATAATGACTTTATATTTATTGTAGGATGTTTAATAGGAATAAATATAAAAAAATAAGATTAGTTTAAAAGTAAGTAACTACTTTATTAGGAGTGAGATTTTGTTAATAATGCCTTATATTTTTGAACGGAGGGAGTATATAGTTTAGGGTATGCTTAACTAAATGACTTAAACTATTTTGATGAAGTAGACTATCCTCAACTTTACTTAATATAAAGAGATTAGCATTAGCACGGCATCATGAGCCATTCAGTTGGGGACAAAAAAAAACAGAGAGAAAAAAGAATGAATGAAAGCTGAAAAAAAAAAAGATATTCAAAAAAGAAAGAAAAAAATTGAATAGACATACAAGCTAGGCAAGAATAAAACGAGAAAAGAAAAGTAATAGAGAGTATACTATATATAAAGAAATAAAAAGTCTCACATCTATGAATTAGAAGATAGATTAAGAATATATAAAAGTCAGAATATATTTAACTAAATGACTTAAACTATTTTAGTGAAGTAAATTACCCTCAAACATATTAAATATAAAGAATTTAACAACATGGAGGTCTCAACGAAAAATACATTCTACCGAATGCATGAGAATCCGAAAGCTGATACTGCGAAGTTATGTTTCTCCACTTGCTCACATTGGTGTCAGGATATACCAACATTATATAGGAAGTTGTGATACTCCAATTTTCATTTTTTCCCCCCAAAAAGAAAAAAAAAAACATATCCCAATATATTATAGACGATTTTTTTTCTCGCTTGTGGGTGGAATTTACCGGTTCAAAAAATAACACAAAAAGTTTTAGTCCCTAAACGTGTTGGCTGGAAGGAAGTGTGTAGGTGCAGACAAACACGTAGTTTTCAGTTCCCCACGTGAATAAGCTCGTGACAAAATAAACAGAGGACCATTTCTCCATATTTCTCTTTCACAATCAATGTTCATAATTTGTCTCATAAGTATTATTTGTTTCCATTTATTATTTGAGGATAAGCTTCGCTATGAAACAAGAAGAAATTTTTATTCCCAACTGAGATGCTTCTATGTAATCTCTTCTTCCTTCCACACAATTGTCGGTTGGCCTTTCCATCCACACTATAAGTTATACTTTCTCGGATATTTTTACAAGATAAAGTTATCTATTTTTTTTTGCCACAAAAAGTATTTACTTTACATTAAGCAAGAAAAAATTCTTAACATTTTTATTATAATTTCACAAATACCTCCTTGCAAATGCTCTTGTCCTTCCACTCTATTTCTTAATTGAAAGAACTATTTCCACCCACTCACTTAAAATTGTTAGATTGTCCAATTATGAGTGGACTTGAGTTGATATAGAAAATTCCACATTCATTGGATAAAGTTGAACTTGATGACTAATATATAATAAAAAGAAAGGACTCATCAATTTGAACCTTAAAGTTTTGAGTTAAGATGTAGTGTTTTTTCAATATTCTTCAATCATTTGTTCTCTCTCCTATTTTTGAATAGTTGCTCCTCATTCCTGAGAAGTGGAATCAGCAAGAGGTTATGGATACTTTCATTTTATTAAATATTGGTATTAATATCAATTTTATTATATTAGTCAGCCTTCTGTGTCAGTCCAACTCACCCAAAATATATCTCCTCATCTTGCTTCCCTAGTTTGTATCCTAAGCCACAAGTCTAGATAGAGTTCACTGCCTGTGCCTATTCCAAAATGTGATATATTACTTTTATTTGGGTCAATTTGCATCGATGAATATCTAAACTACCCCTCCTTTTGGTAGAAATAAGGTCTATAAATAGAAGCCTCCATCCTCTCGTTTCCACACAACACATCCCAAGAAACAAAAGCTCTACATTCAATTTAATGAAGCCTTCCTTGTTTTCCCTCTTCGTTCTCTTTGCCTTCTTCACTTCTTTAACAACAGCCAAGTTTCTCCTTGACAGTCAAGGCGAACCCATTGAGAATGGTGGCTCATACTACATCCTTCCACATATCTGGCCAATAGGCGGTGGCTTGGATCTCGCCAAGACTGGAAATGAAACTTGCCCTTATAGTGTTGTGCAACTTCCATATTCCATTGATACCGACTACGGCTTGCCTTGGATAGTTACGTCCCCATTAAAAATTAGATACATCACACCAAGCATTAATGTGGACTTCTTCTCTGTTGAGGGAAAGGTACCATCCTGTGTTCTTGTGCCGTCCAAGTGGACTATTGTTGAAGAAGATGGGGTGAAGTCCGTGAAAATCAGTGGTGGGTACGAGAAAACTCTGCAGGGTTCGTTCAGGATTCAACCATATACTCTCTTCGCTTATAAGATTGTGTTCTGTCCCCTTAATGGTGATTCTTGCAGAGATCTTGGGATTGCCAGAGGCAATGATGGAAACTCGCTTTTAGTTATCACTGATGATTATCTGCTTATTGCTGTGTTCATCAAAGCTGAATCATATAATGCACGTAGAGCCTCTATCATGTGAAGTGTAGTCAACTATGAATAAGTAATGCGCAGGATTAAGCTTAGCAAGTTCCTTGCACTTTGTGATAATTAAATAAAATTGCACTTCAAGTGGCTCTCTCTCTCTCTCTCTCTCTCTAAGCTTCTTACTTTTAGTTTATAATGCAGAAAAACATGGATATTTTTGTATTTTACATAGCATCTAACTTTTGTCAAAGGGAAAATATCATTCAAGGATCCCAAAAGCAAGATATTTGCATGAATGGATGAAGGGACTGAGTTGCAGTTAAGTTTATCATGTTATTTTATTTTTATTTTTTTTACCATAAGTTTATCATGTTATTAAAATGACCCTTTAATTATCATTTTTCGTTGCCTTTCTTTTAACGTGTTAATGGATGCTTTTAACGCATCATAAGGATTTCAAGACTTCGTCATTAGGTATCTTCTAGTTTAACACATTAACCATTCATTTTAACGCGACATCTTGATGTTAAAATTTCCTCCTAGCCATTTTAACAAATCAACACTATCACAAAAGGTCCAATTACTTGATAGTTATTTTTACCAATATTTGACAATTTTAAACTGTCAAGTAAGGGGGTGCCATATATTAGGGCCCCCTTACTTGATGGTTAAAAATTATCAAGTATTAGTTTTTAGGTTCAGGCTTTGACCAGTTTTAAAAGCTAATATTTGATGGTTATTTTAAAATAATTATAAAGTATTATTAAATACTTGACAGCTATTATGATCTTTAAGTATTTGTGGTATTTTTTATGCAAGCAACCCCCTGCAAATTTTACAAAGAAACCAACTATGTATCAGCTAGCCAACAACCATAAACAAATCAATCACTATTTCTATTAAAATTACTATTCAAATACATTAAAATTCCTATATTATTCCTATATCCTAAACCAAAAACCATAAAAAAATCTAAAATCTTGGTTAATTTGCAAACTAAAATTTCAAAATTAAGTAGCCTAAGATGTAAAAGTTGGCAAAACAAATGATGTGTAAGTTATATACATATACCTAAACTAACTACTGGGCCTAACAATTTCTGCTATTTAACATGGCTTAGGCTACTTCTTCAAGAACTTATTTTACATGTATGGCTACATACCATATGCAATAAATATCCTCAAAGTACTGTATGCAAAGAGTTACAATAAATTCAAGTTAATAGCTAGCTAACTAAAGTTGGTTAAAATTTATAATTTAAGTGTGATTAAATTTAATATATACCTTGTTAAGTATGTGATAGGGGCATGGGTAATGATATCTTTTGTGAATCTCATTAGGAAATAACCACAATTGTTGCTCTTATATGGCTGGAGTAAGCATTGTAAAAAAAAAAAACCACGTATCAATGAATGGTATAACAGGCGATGATTTCTTGATTAAAAACTTAGCAAATTAAATGAATACTTTAACTATGACCCATTTATCGCAAGAGTCCAATGCCTTCAATATGTGGGATAAGGTCTTGCTGGTCATAGACTGATACAATATCATAACTGTAAGAAGGAAGTAAAGAATAAATGTGAGAAATTCTCTATGTGAAAATTAAAATAACATGAAAAATAACAACTGAAAAAAAAAATTTAACTTACTTATTAAAATGTTCTACCATATCTGACTTGTTGTTTGGTTCTCCATTAAGATGATCAAGATACCATATTTTAAAAGCAACAAGATTAATCACAATAAGCATTTAGTTCTCCCTAACCAGAGATAACAAGTATTATCAAACAATTAAATACAAAAAATATTTACTCATATTGAAAGTAGCTAGAAAGTAATTCACCCTTGATAGTAAGGAGTGAGAAATAAGGTATCATTATCTACTCCCTTGTCCTTGAATTGATCCAAAAGCTTACTTTCTTGATCTTCAAGAGCTTCCTTAGTAATATCATTATGGGGAGAGATGACATAGGGATTATTGAACCTCAAATCAAGACCATGAAGAACCACAAATGAGGTATAAAGATGACTTGTGTGAAAAAATAAACAAGTTAGTACGCACACATGCATGCACACACACACACACACACACACACACATATATAAAATTCAAGTCATTAACTTAGCATTATTGAAGAATTACATCAAGTAGAAACTCATCAAACTAGTGCTTCCCATTTCATACTTGAGGATTTCATTTAACATTTCATCCCGAATGACTTCAAACTAACCTGCTCTACTATATAGCCCATCATAAAAATTGATGATATCCCCAATTAATCGCCACTTGACGGGCCATCCTTGTAGCTATCGCATTAGTCTCAATTAAGAGAGCCACAATATTTAATTTGTGTTCTATAACATGTATTGATGTTGAATGCTATGAAATTGTGGATAATTCTTTAGTATGGTCCGATGCCTTGCCTTTCAGGAAGCTCTTTCCCCTCGACTATACAATAGAAAAGTTAGATATGTATCACTACTACCAAAAAAAAAAAAGATTTTCAAAGTGTTCCATTTTAAGCTTTCGGAGCATTTTGCAAGTGCTCAAAAAAGAGGAGCTCCTGAATATACAAGAGCGTGTAAAACGCTCTTATAGAGGAGACCTATAAGAGCTTTTGTAGGATGAAAAGCTCCTGTAAGCATACCTTACATGAACTTTTCTAGAAAGAAAAGTTCCCAAAAGTTAGGCCTACCAGAGCTTTTCTAAAAGAAAGGCTCCGATAGGCTTGACCCTATAAGAGTTTTTCTTGTCAAAAAAGCTCTTGTAAGGTACCTACAAGAGCTTTTTATCCACAAAATGCTTTGGTAGGTATTTTATTTTTTAATATTTTTTTCATTTTCTCTTTCCTTATACGGGAGCTTTTCTTTTTAGAAAAGCTCTTGTAAGGTATCTATAGGAGCTTTTTATCCATAAAATGCATCGGTAGGTATTTTATTTTTTTTTATATTTTTTCATTTTCTCTTTTCCATTCCATTTATATTGTATATCATGACCAATATTTTAGACAAAACCCAACAGCACAACAATCTAAAAAGACAATACAAATTTCAACAAGGCAACTATCATTTAATTTTAAGGAACGACTTCAAGTAAAGATCAAAGTATTTCTTTTATATATCAAAACTCATAAGCAACTAAACAATGTAATTTTCATAATATTTCTACACTTATACCTAAACCACAAATTCTAACCACTTTGAATACCTTGTAAAGATCTCATAACATATTTTGACCACTCCTCTATAAACTCATCTAATTCTTTCATCCTATAAGACTTGCATGAAGCATCTTCAAAGAACTGTAAGATAAAATAATATATAATTAATTAAATTAGTTATTAAATTTAATAAAAATTGATTTTAAGATACTTACGTTTTCTGGAATGATTATTTCTCCATGTGTGACAACATCTTTCATGGATTTCATGATGTAATATCTGCACTCCCTTGTTTTGGTTCCTATAAAAACAATAAAGAAAAAAAGCAAATGTCCAAATTTTGTCATGTTATAGATCGAATTAAAATTAAACAAGTATTAATTAATACACCAAATTAAAATTGTGGAGCAGAGTCTCCCCTAAAACGCAGTATTTCAGTAATTCTACAACAACCCATGACAACATATTTAGAGAGAAAAATATTAAAAGTATCAGTCAAACAATCATTTAGAAGTAATAAAATGATACATACCTTTATTCTCATTCACTTGTAGTAACTAGCTGGATCAGGCGTTATAATTGCACAAAGGCTTGAGGATTTTAGGCGACACCGTTGTGTTCTACCTTTTGGATATTGGGGGAAGGCTCCATGACTTCACAGCCATTGCTTTGCATCTCTGTTTGAGCCATTATTTGATGACGATGAGGAAATTTTGGGAAGGAAAATGGTATGAGGCAACTAGCCAAAACCAATAATAGGAAATCTGCCAAAATTCATGAATAATAAGAAATCTGTGAAAATCCCTCAAGTTGGGAGTCATACATGTCACACTCCAAAAATCAAGTGTGACTGGCATGGAATATGAGTACAAAACTCACATTCCTTAAATCTTGATCAGAGAAACTTTTAGGTTAATACTTTGAACACATTAATAGGGTGATTAATTTTTTTTTTTTACAATATTAAATTAGATATTCACTTTTAAAAGAAATATGAGGGTCCTACCCGTAATTTATGTGGAGCACCTAAGATCAAACTCCAACATAAATACAAGGTTCAAAATTTCCTCAAATTAGGATTTGTCTAAAGTAATCCTTCCGCTTCAACTCAGCAATAAAACTGCTCAATAAACACCTCAACACACAAGTTTAGCTATACCATCTAAGATCAAAAATATCTTTTTCAATGAATAACGTCTCAACAATAAATAATTGAACTTGAATAAAAAAAAGTTTGAAACAATTTTGCAATTTAAAGAGGCAATGATTTTCATAAAAATTTAAAAATCTTCAGAAATAAAAGAATTTTATAAAGTTTAAATAAAATCTTGAACTATTAAAATATCATATCAAATATTATTATCACTTGATTGTAAGAAAGTAAATAAATAAAATAAATAATTGTAAATAGTTTACCAGTTAAAAATCAATAGAATGTAAAATCATTAAATAATCAAATTTATATTATAAGGACTCATCAGAACAATTAACAAACATTGACACACGATTCATGAAGGTAAATAACCAAATGCAGCTCTTGCCATGAAGACAAACGTGGACACACAATCTACAAAGGTAAATAACCAAATGCAGGCGAAACCACGAAACAAACATGGACACATAGTCCACGAGGGTAAGTAACCAAATGCAACTAAAGCCACGAAACAAATGTGAGTGTGATGCTCACGAATAACCATCCCTCCGTTCCATGTGCATTGATTGTCGTAGAGGGCTAGTACCTCCTATAAACACCCTACTAGCCAAGTGTACCATGGCACACCAAGAGCTAACAGAACTGCCATTACCAACCAGTATTCTGTATAAAGTCCCCTTAAAATTTATTTTCAAACATGTGAGAATATCATCACTTTCAAAATAAACTTTTCTCTTCTCAATATCAAACTCACATAAACTGTTTAAAATATCAATCCTTTAAAATATGAAGATTCACAACTAACGTTTCATAAACTTCTTCACCCATTTCCATGATTGTTTTTATTGAATAAAAGAATACTAGAATTTATAAAAGCATTTCTACCAATCTTATAAGTATAAATCATAATAACTTCAAGAGCTAAAGAAACTTAATCAACAACATTAATCAATGCTAGAGTGGCATATATTAATGACGGTAAATTATTAAAAAAATAGTTGATAAAAAAAATTTTAAATATATAAATTGATTAGGACGTTATCCACTTACCTATAATGTTCTTGAGTGTAAATTCACTCTTTACAGTCAAATCTTTTTTCTTTTAAGCAACCTATTCAATATATAAGATAATTCAATGATCTATTACTTGAATTTAATATCAACACCACTAAGATCACTTAAGTTTTCAACTAAATATAATTTATGCCTAGATTCCTCTAATATCTACTAAACTTAATATATATAGATATATATCCCTCTATTTAACACTTTGCTTCTATCGAGCGCACGCCCGCACACGTGCACACACACAACTAAACTTGTGCATATATACACCACCTTTAATCACATTAAAATTTTAAAGTTCTTCTATCACATGTTTTATCGAACACCTTAGGTGTGTTTTCAAAATCAAGTCTTAAAACAACATTATTATTTATAACCAGCCATGCAATTTTCCAAAAGCCAATTCGTCTCGCAATAGCTTTATGAAAAAAATCTTCACAAAACTGAAAGTTAAATCCATGGATAATTAACACCTAAACCAACTATGTGCTTATAAAAGTTAATGAAATATCTAAAAATTCTCATTCTAACAGACACTTTATCAAACATTTTATAGCCATCATTGCTTAAATCACAACAACAAGTTCATTTCTCTTCTAATCTTCTTATAACACACAATAAAATTTTATCCGGCCTCCTACAATTCCAACAAACTTCCTTCTAACATTACTACAACATTCAATAGATATTCCAAAGATCAATACATACATAACAATTCAATACTTAAATTGTCAAAGAAGTTATTTCTTTAAAAATCTCTATTTGTAATTTCAATTTCCTTTTAAACATTTTATCGAATATCTTACATGCATCCAAATTCAAATAAACACCAAGCCTCTTTATCCTTAACATCCTTTTCAAAATCTCTCAACATCAATATTTAGCTTAACCAACTGAAATCATGCACAGCATCAACCGAAATTGCCACATAATTTCTATTTTATAAGGAAAAGAAATCATAACAGCAACAAGAAAAACAGGGACGCATCGGTTCAGGGAAGAATAAGCGTGATTCACACTGTTATTAGGGTCATACTCACATAAGAAGAAAGAATCAACACTTTACCTCAACCAAAGCACAGTAAGAGATGCAACACCATACTTCACGGACCACACAAAGAAGAGGAGAAGAGCTTCCGCTTGGCTGCCCCAAGAGAAGGAAACAAAACTGAAATTACAGATCAAAAAGAGGAAGGACTTAAGCTTATTAAGCACATACACATGGACGTTCAACTGCAGAGAAGGAAAGGAAGAAGAAAGATTGAACACGCACACACCTTCGGCGGCCATGCAACAGAGCATAAACAAAGAACTTCAGCTACTTTACTGGACAGAGATGGAAGAATAGCCAAGGAAAGTGACGGACACTTGTTGGCGATGAAGAGACCAGCACACCGACGGCAAGATGAAGCCTACACGACAGGAAAGATGGAGAGAAACACAGAGGGACGCGAACGCTTTCCTTTACTCTGTTCTCCAACTTCTAACCGACAAGGAGGGGGAAGAGTATTATATAGTAAACTCCTTGCGAAATCTACCAAATAAGATTTTTATTTTTATTATTATTATTTTATTATTTATTTATTTTTATTTTTTTTATGTTTACAAAAGGGGCAATATAGCAATCTCACCAAGGCTAGAAAAATAAAACACCCCTCAAACATCAGCAAAACTCGAACCAACAACTCAATATATGAATTACTAACACAATTTTTCTCTTGTCTTATTTGTTCCACAAATTAATGAAATACAATCAACAACTTATCATTAATTCTAATCTTACTTAAATTCCTAAGTCATTATAATTTACTCCAAAACTTTAAATAAAATACATTCAAAATTTCTTATTATAAATTTTTAATTCTACTAAAATTCTAGGGTTAGAAAAATTTAAGTCAAAATACCAAGAAAAAAATTTTATCAATTAATTAATTAATTTATTTACCTTAAATTTTTCTGAATTTACACCAACTCCTCTTTTGATGCTTAAATAAAATTTATTGCATTGTTTGAAGTTCCTCAAAAATTAATAAGATGCACTTAAATCATATAATTATAGATTTTAATTTAAGTTGAATTTTGAAGTCATTACAATACAATTCTCATAATAAAACATCTAAATCAATATTTAAACATGTACAAGAGATTATAATCACAATTTCAAGAGAGTGCAGAAAGAATTTAGAAACAGTAAATGCATTCATAAAAAAACAAGAAAAAGAAACAGTAATATGGGCACAGCATCACCTCTCGATTCCAAATACTAAACATGTCTATGCTCTTATTTGAATAAGCGTGAAGCACAGCAAGCAAATGCTCTCCTTCCAAAATAGATAGCATAAAAGGAAATCCATTCGATGGTCAGCATAAAAGGAAATCCATTCAATGGTCACGGTAACATTAGACATTAGTTCCGAAAAAGAAAAAGTCAAAAAAGTTTGTATGGACGCAGGGCGCTGAAGAGGAACCTGGTTTCAGATCTGCAAAAGCAAGGAATCATGCAGAAAATAGAGGCGGCGCTGTCCGTGAGGAAAATGGTATGAGACGCAAGCACGGAACCCAGATCTAGACTCGAGCACATGCACACGCAGACAACGAACCACTCAGAGTTGAGCAGCACACAGATAACGGGAGATGGACCTCCGGATCTAGAAATTTGGTGCCGAACCTAGACTCGATAGACGTCGATCAAGCAAACCAAACTCCATATCTGAACTGGGTATTTGAAGATGGAGTTGGGTATTCAAAGAAATGGAGGAAGAAACGCAGATGACGGAGCCAGGGATGAAACGGATAAGAAGGCCGAAGCTGATACAGAAGAAATGTGGAGTCGAAGAAATGGAGCTTAGGATATGTAAGAAGTGTGGAGTCGAATAAATGGATCTGGTACAGGAGAAATGTGGTCTGCACAAATAAACTAGAAAAAAAGATATGGGAGCTTTTCAGAGACAAAATGCTCTCGTATCCTCTAACCTATAGGAGCTTTTTCAATAGGAAAGGCTCTTATAGCTATTCAAAAATTAAAAAAACAAGATAAAAGTGTAGTCTATGAAAGCTTTTAAGAAAGAAACGCTCCCATGTTCTGTCATCCTACAGGAGCTTTTTTTATAAGAAAAGCTCTTATAGATGTTAAAAAATAAAAATAAAAGTGTAGTCTATGAAAGCTTTTTCAATTATAAAACGTTCCGGTATGTGTATTTTATTTCTATAAATAATTTACAATTAACAATATCTGTAAATTTTATAATCGAAAATTGTATGATAGTTGTTATTTTTGTATTTTTATTTATTTTGTAATAATTTTAACTTTACAATAGTGTTTAGCATTTTAATATATAAAATATCAAATATAATATTTTGAAAGTACTTTATATTTTATAAAAATATTTTTTTAAAAAAAATTTAATTATATAATATAACTTTATTTTGTAAAAATAATAATTTATATTTTATAACTATTTAAAATTTTTAATGCTTTATTTAGATGTTAAAAACAAAAATAAAAGTGTAGTCTAGGAATCTTTTGTTTATATAAAAATGTTATAATGATTTTCCATCTTATTTTAAATGAATTAAAATATTCGATTAAAATTTCTTGATTAAGGCTTAAGGAATGTATGTTTGCGTATATATATCGTGCCAGTCACGTCTAATTTTTTGAGTGTGAAATAAATAACCAACAAGCATGACTAGGAGCTATGAAACAAGCTTAAATATGTAACTCATGAATAATAAGTATAAGTATTAAGCTCAAAACTAATAACCGTGAGTGCAATGCTCATGAATACCAAGCTAGCTAAGATTTAACCATGATGTGTCAAGGGTTAATGATATTACTATTAGTAATCAGTGTTTTAATTCAATCTCACATTATAAATTAAGCATGCGTTGTAATGATCCAAGATTTTAAATTAAATTAAATTAAATTAATTTTTTTTCCAAATAATATTTTATTTAAATTATTTTTATAGCAAGTGAAGAGTGGTAGTTTATTAGAACTTATGCTAACAATTTTCTTGAAGGTCCTGGTATCAAATTATATTGAGCAAAAGTTAGGTTTTATTTTGTCTTAAATTATAAAAAAATTTTGTTCCCTTTCTTGTAACTTTTGTTATGCCCCTTCTTGTAATTTTTCCAATTATTCTTATAACCAGATTTTTTCTTCTCTCCGTGAAAAAAAAAAAAAAAACAAAGCATTCCATTCCTCAGTCTCCTTCATCGACCGACAGCGTGCTCTTCATCCCTCCTCACTGTTGGATTCCTCTCCTCACCGTCAAACTCCGCCCCTACCATCGGACTTCCCTCCTCGCCATCAACCTTCTCCTGTACTCGCCGAAGTTGTGCTGCCGTTGGGAGTTCAGTAGGTGAAAATCCAATGATTTCTTCTCTCTTCCTTAGTTGCTGTCGTGCGAGTTCAGTATGTGTGTAGATTGTTGTTCTTCCTTTCTTTCGTTGTTGTTGGTTGCTGAGCTGAGACCTTCGAACCCTTGATTTTTCATTCAGCCACTATTTCCTTCAAGTGCAGAAGTCCTGTTGAATTGGGGTCTGTTAGCTTCGTGTTCGTGGCTGCCATGAGAAATTCCTTATATCCAGCCACTTGTCTTCTTGCTTCTTCCTCCTTAGCTGTTGGAAGTAGAGCGTTTGTGTGTCGTAAGCTTGATCTCTTCCCTCTTTAGTTGATGGTTCTGCTTTTTTGTTTACTGTTGCTGTCGCGATTTGTTTGGGACATTGAGGTGCTATTTTGGTGGGTGCTGTACACCATTTTATTTGGATATTCGGCCGAATAATGATGATAAAATTAATGTTGGTATTGGTTAAATGTGTTGGATGCTTATTGTGAATTGAACTTTGATGAATGCCTGAAAATTTTTGTGAAAATGCTTGAAAGAATGTTGTCAAACTGGCATAATATAACTTGAAGGATTATATATGTATGGTGATTTAAGCTGCTGCTTGGAATTTTAAAATAGCAAAGTAGGAGAAAAGATTATATATGATGCTTGTATAGTATTTTATTAAGTCTACATAAAGCATAAAAATAATTGATATAGTGTATTATAATTTATAATTGAGGATGGGTTATAAAGAGACATAAAGATGAATTAATATTTGTCAAATAGTTTAATTAACTCAAGTATAATTAAAACTCAAATGAAGACAGTGCTATCTTAGTTATTGCTTGCAAATCAATTGTTGATATATTGTGAAATATGAAGTTGCATATGATTTTATTTACATTATATTTTAAGGTATTTGAACATAGGATTTGATGGAAATATGACTATTTAATTTTCATAATACGACCTAAAGGAATTATAAATGCTACTTCATGAAATATATATCTTTACATACAAATTGTAAATTTGAACTACTTATTGAAATTGTGTAGCACTTAAAGGGAAATTATTAAAATAGATGATAATTAAGATTTTTGTTAAGCTTGGAATAAGGGCTACGTTAACGGTTAAGGTTGAATGTTGCTAAATATTGTTGAACTACTTGATGAAAGTTGTTGAAGGGTTCAATAAGAGTTTAAGGGGTTAATGAAAAATTTAAAGAATTATTTTAAAAGGCTTGAATGTTAATTTTACCTACCTATATTAAGAAGGGAAATCATATTGACACAAAGATTGTTAGTTTATGTGCCAGATTATTTGGGCATTGGAGTGTAAATGGGAATTTAAGAGAATCGGGCTATATAAAAAAAATTTAGAAACTCTCATGTGAGTTAGTAGTATCACAAATAATTTTTTGCAAATTATTTATAACATTTTTTATTTAAATTTTTATAGCATTTCTTTATAAGTTGTATAAATATTCTTGTCAATTCTATTTTTATGATTTATACAATTCTTCTTACTTATCTTACTTTTATATTAATTGGCCTATTATGGAATGTGTTTTATTTTCATTAAGAGTTATGCTATTATTAAGGAATATTTGGATCTGGTACATTATTAACTAATTATTTATTTTAAACATTTCTATTGTTTAAATTTTATAATTTACATCACAGTTGTTAATACAATGATTCATGCATGGAAAAAATTGACAAGAAAACTTAATAGTTAAATATTATATTTTAAAAGGAATGATTTTTAATAAATGTTTCAACTCCATGCATGTTGGATTTAGTTAAGGAGACTGAGTCTAGAATGCTGGATGATAACAATAGTATTGTTAACTCTTGGCATGCTATGGTACACCTAGGTAGCAAGATGTTTGTAAGAGGTGCAAGCCTCGTGTGAAAGCAAACGCACATGGATTGTTTTGATTAAATCCTATGAAAAAAATGAAAAAATGAAAATGAATGAAAATGAAAATGAGTTTACGTTTATTCAAAATAATATTTGTTGAATGAGTTGTATTTTTTATATTTAGATTTTGAAAAGAATTTTATATCTCTTAATTTTTTATAATACACATTGTAGTATGAAGTGAAATTCTAATGCTATGTCATTATTAATTGGATTCATACATATATGATTTTCTTAATTTAAGCTT